GCAGGAAGGCTGACGTTTCGGGCCTAGACCCTTCTTCAGAAATGAAGGGTCTAGGCCCGAAACGTCAGCAAAGGATCTAGGCCCGAAACGTCAGCCTTCCTGCTCCTCTGATGCTGCTTGGCCTGCTGTGTTCATCCAGCTCTACACCTTGTTATCACTAAAAGAGAATGTCTGGTCATCATTGTGTCACTGTTTTGGGGCACCTCGCTGTGAGAGACAAGGATGTCTCAGTTCTGACATTGCAACAACAGCAATTATAAAGCACTTTGAGACATCCAATGGTCACACAGCTGTGGAAATTAACTCGGCTCTTCAGAAGAAGGACGACTGGATCCAAGACGTTAAATCTGTTTTCTGTCTCCTCAGATACCTCCAGAGTTTCTCCAGCAATTTCTCCTTTTCAGCTCAAGATTTCGAGCAGTTCCATAACTTAACCTGCTGGTTGGGGAGCTGACGGATTTACAAGCTCTTACGTCCCATTCTGTTCTACTCTTCGCATATCAGAGAGCGAGGCAGTGCAGACAGAGGCTGTTCAGCCTAGCCTGTCCCTACTGGCCCTTTGAAAATGCTATGAATCCACGGCCCCTGTTCTTTTCTCATGATTTCCCTGTCAAGCTCTTGTCCAATTTTCCAATAATTGAATCTGCTTCCCAATTCCAATTATTGCAATGCGTTAAGCGAAAAATTATTTCTTTTGCCAATCCAAGACCATTTGGTTTCCAACACTTTGCCACTGGAAACAGCTTCTTCTTTCTGATTCTGTTGAATTCTGTCACGATTTTGAGCCTCTGTCACCTCCCTCTGAACCTACGGAGCACAGCTCCCTTCATGTTGATAAAGTCTTAAATCGCTGAGAGCACACAAGTCAAGTTCCTCCACACTCTCTTGATGCCTTTTCTAAAACCCAATGGCCTGAATAGGCTAATATCTGCAGCGTGTATAAAAGGCAGGCTCCCACCCAATCCCTGGGGGGTGGGGGGAAGCGTGTGGTTTATATTCGAATTGCTCCATTTGATGCTAAAACATCTCTGGAAACTGCAAAGAGGAACGACTAACGAAAGGGAAGCACTTGTTCAATATACTTCTGTATTTTTGACTGAAAATGCATGTAGCCACAGAAAGAGTGTGCAATGCTTCATGTCTCCTTGATGAGCAAGGGCTGACTGGATTGAAATGAAAAGGACATTTCGTCTTGTGGATCTTGTGGATTTCGATTTGAGGTGCTATGGTTTTAGAACAGAGATAACGTGAATCGTTTTATCGTCTCTGCGAGGGCTGCTGTGTGACTTTGAAACTCTCTGCCTCAGAGAGGAGTGAAGGTTGGTCATTGGATATTTTTCAGGTGGAAGTAAATGCTAGGCAGCGAACTGAAAATTATCGGAGGTCGTTAAGAATGTGGAATTCAAAAGAGAACAGACATGAGCAAACTTTATGAATGGTGGAACAAGCTCAGGAGGTGAAATCTGTTCCTAATTCATAGCTTCATCAGCTGCTCCAGTCATGCACTCTGTCCACTGCCTACACATAGCAGTATCTTGTATTCATAGAACCCCTATAGTGTGGAAACAGGCCCTTCAGCCCAACAAGTCCACACCTACCCTTAGAACATCCCACCCAGACCCATCCCCATCCCCTGACACTACAGGCAATTTAGCACAGCCAATTCACCTAACCTGCACATCTTTTGATGGTGGAGGAAACCCACACAAACACAGGGAGAACACACAATCTCCACACAGACAGTCTCCTGAGGCTGGGATTGAACCCAGGTCCCTGGCACTATCAGGCAGCAGTGCTAACCACTGAGCCACGGTGCCATCCTTCTGGAGACAAACCCAGTCTTTAGATTTCACCCCCATCTGACACATCAAGCAGACCCTCTTGCCTTTTTCTCAGTATCGAACTAACAGCACATTGCGAGATGAGCTGCGTGAGAAGAGAGAGTTCGAAGCTGGGAATTCTGTGGTAGTTGGAATGAGCCAAAACAGGGAAAGTGCAGCTAAGTATAGAACATAGAACAGTACAGGCCCTTCGGCTCACAATGTTGAGCCGAACTTTTACCCTAAACCTAAGGTCTATCTAACCTCCACTGCTACCTTATGCTTTCATCCGTATGCCTATCTATTAGCCGCTTAAATGCCCCTAATGAGGCCGACTCCACTACCCTCTCCGGCAATGCATTCCAGGCCCCTACCACTCTCTGAGTAAAGAGAACGTCTGAGTAAAGAAAGTATCTTGGCTCAAGTCAGTAATACAAACTTTCAAGTCAAGCCTTTAAAGCATCCACATTTAAAAAGGTAGTCACTTATCATGATTGAAAAATCAAAAGCATATAGCCTCCTGTCAGTTTTACATTTCCATCCTATGCTGAAATGTTCTGTTTTTTGGCGGAAACAGTTTTCTTACTCACTAAGGTGCACTGAATGCAGGAACAAACATAATAAAAATCACTTAGCTAAATGTGTCATTTATCAATAAAGGAAAACATTTAGCTCATTGTGCTTCTGTCAGAAAGACCTATCCAATTGTTCCAAATTTCTTTAACTTATCGACGTGGACTAAACCCGCCAGAAATGAATCAGGTGCCGATTTCTGCCTAAGTGCCCTGTCAACAGAATTGGTAATCACAGTCTGGTACCAAAAGAGTTTTTACTAGTGTGGAGTCTCACTCTCTCTACATTTAATTGTTTTTCAAATGTAATTCAATAGCACCTCTAAAATTTCTCTCTTTTTAGTTCTTTCCCTTGATCCAATTTCTTTAACCCTCTCTAATTCGTGTTCTGTGCCCGATTTAGCATTGAGGGTGTTAATCTCACTGACTCTTGTTGACTCTAGGTCTCTCTGTTCTACAACACTACCCAGGGCTCTACAATAAACTTGTTTAAGTCCTGTCTTTCAACCCCCACAGCAGAGATCAGACCATATAACCTTGACAAATCCAGACAAAGGAAACAGAAAGCTTTATAGTGCATTAAAATTTCTCTACACTGTGCAAGCAAGTAGATTTGTGTGGAAGTAGGGAACACTCTCACTCAGAGCCTTATCTGATTGTACACATGGAAACAAGATTAGGTAGCAGCAGTGTCACATGTATTCTTTTATGGTTTGCCTTATCAGCAGTTCCCGATGATATTTTAAGCTCTCATTCTTGTAAAACTTGATCCTGATATGAACTGTTTTGTTCAGATTTGGGTGCAACAGGAAAAGATTGAGTGTCTCAGACTCCTGGTGCAATCGAGCTGTACAATCGACAGACCCCCTTCAGAAATCACAAGCCATTCATTGCTGGGTGTCTGACTCATCCAACAGCATTCCAAAACCCATTGTGTGGTGGGGCTGAATAAAACCACGTCAGTCACAAACCAGCGTGCAGTGAGTGTCTGATCCATCGACACTGCAAGCCCATTGTTTTCTGTTTCTAAGCCCTTGGCGATCACGATTCATCACTGCTCGACTGTCTGAATAACTCAACAAGAAGGGGCACGCATTTATGCGAAGGGAAGAGAGCTTACCCAGCACTTTTCACGATCTGAGAACGTCACGAACAATTCAGAGCATTGTTTGAAGCGCAGCCGCTGCTGTGTGAAGTGTAGGAAATGCAGCCGCCAAATTGTACACAGCAAGCTCCCACAAGCAGCAATGCAATAACCTGTGACTGTGATGTTGT